TGCCTATGGTGTCCTCAATGATGACGGAAGAACTTGCAAAAGTGAGTTATAAATTATTTTTCTCTGAATTATTAATTAAATGAGTAAAAACATGGAAGTTGGTTATAATGTAAATTATATGAGTTTATTAGCTATAGACATATCAATCCATATAACATTATATAATGTATGTACATACAGGAGTGGATTTAAATAGCTCGGTGGTTGAGATGATTGCCTTCTAATCCCGTTGTCTTGGGTTCCGAACCTTGTTAAGCCGGGAAGTCGTTGTGTCGTGTGACGACATTCATCGTATGATAAAGCCAACTCGGCTAGATGACGCGACACTGTATGCTCATTGTCGGCAGTCTGAATGGATCGTCTTAAAAAAATGATCTGTTGCGTGCGTCATGTTGTGTTGCATTCTTTGTAAAATCGCGTCGGCTGACGACCATCAAGCACAGTGAGTACCTGGCATTACTCAGGTTGGATGCGGAAGTAATAAAAAGAAGAAGAAACTGTTTCCAGATGAAGACTGACATGACTGCGCAACAAAATATAATGCAAAATTAACCCGGTATTCTTGTTTTTTTTTTTGTAGATTACAATGCTTTCATAGTGTATTCTGAACGGAATCTCTTGCGTGGCCTAAGTAGTATGGAGGACAATAATGACATGTACCAAAATGCATTTGAACCAATCAAAAATGCCAATATTAAAAATGCGGTTAGCCTCGCTGTAGACTACAACAACCAGAAGCTTTTCTACACAGACATTCAATTGGGCAACATCGAGTCGATTAGGTTCAATGGAACTGGACAGGAAACGGTTGTATTTGGTGGGTTGCTATATATTTTACTGCCTGTTTTTAGAGTTTGGAAAATCAAATCAAAACTCAAATCGTTCCATTTATATTGCACCATTCAACAATCGTTACTTGTGGCGCAGTGGACTAGATTTTGCACTTTTCGGTAACTTTTTTCTCCCCCGAGGGTAGCTTCATGTCCTCTGTAGTGGGTAAACCGGCGCCCTCTTTAATCCAAAAAGGGATACAATTGTGGTTTGCTCATTGTGATGTGTTTCAAGCAGAGACTGTGACACAATATTAAAATGGTTTAAGCTTCATTCCATCCTTTAAGGCGATTGTTTGTGAAAGTTTGGGGTGGGGTGAAGGACGGGGGTAGTGGTTCTAGGATTGCAAACCTGCCAGCAAGTGGCTGATTATGAAAAGGGGGTTTGTTTCCATTCTATGTAGTAAAACTTTATTTATTCACGAAGCACATATCAACAAATACTGTACAAAGAAAAACCTTACAAATTGCAATACATTATCATCACAAAAAGCAAAAGTTACACACAGAAAATTAAATAATATAGATAAATAATGTATATGCAGTTAGCCTCGCTGTTCGTATCATTCGAGCATTAAGTTCAACATGTGTCATTAAAAGTTCAATTTACCATTCTTAGACGTAACTATTAATTTAGATAATGGTAAATTACCACATCAGTACACACAATACCTACAGACAACAATCGATACCTCTACTACAGAAGCTCACACCAATGCACTTTAAATGATCAACTACAGTCAATGCCTTCCACTCAAACAAATCTGCTCATGTCCATCCGACTATAACAAACACTTATCTCTTCTCACTGGCAAGTTATGTTAAATAACTACCCATTAAGTGTAATAAAAACTAGGATTGAAAAGCCTCACATAAATCTCGCACTGATCTCACATACAGACCTAAATATGATAATGATCGGCTACCTATGGTATTCGACTATAGCCCCAACATATGTATATATTTAAGTGTTGGAAATTACATGTCATTACAGGTGTTCGGTCTGCTGAAGGTCTGACCTATGACCCAGCATTCCAGGAGCTTTACTGGACAAGCTACAGCAACTCGTCTATCAACCGCCTTAAGCTTAATAGTGAGCCTGAAATTATTGTCCAACTGTCATCCAATGACAGGCCCAGGGGAATTGTAGTGGACTCATGCACAGGGTAAGTGTTGTTCTTTAATGTAAATGTTTTTCTTTCTCATTCATTTGTAAATCAAAAACATGTGCTAAAAAAAAAAAAATCATTTTTTTTTTTTTTTTTTTGATTATTTTAAGTTCTGTCCAGATTATCAAAGTTTCTTTGATAAAAAAAAAACTGTATGCCCTTATATAGTCATGATGTGCCTACATATGGTCATGATGTGATGTCATAGTGACCATATTTAGGTATTTAACATGTTTTTGTCAAATTTGATAATCTAGACAGGGCTTACACAGGAAAGCTTCAACACTAATAATCAAAACATCAAAACAGCTATTTAAATGCATAACAATATAAAAAAAAAATTTTTTAATATTTCTAATTTCAGTTGTAGCTATCAATGGTAGTTTATATTTTTCTCAACTTCTAAAATACAGATATTTATATTGGACTAACTGGAATGAGAATTCCCCAAGTATCATGAAATCTCGTACAAATGGCTTCCAGACGCAAACGATTATAACAGAGGATATTCGCACGCCAAATTCCATTGCGTTGGATCATACTGCTCAGAAGCTATATTGGGCTGACGCTCGTTTGGACAAGATAGAAAGGTGCGAAGTTGATGGGACAAATAGACATGTAAGTTTGGAGTTGTTGCAATATAATATTAGAAAATGTTTAAAATCTTGATTTAGTTACATATCCAGATTTGAAAAATGTTAATTACACATTTTACGCCAATGGCAGTGTGGAACATAGCTTTTGCAGAGCTATATTCTATGGTTCATTGAAACCCGTCCTTTCTTAGCTCTTCACTACTAAGAAATCAACTGCTTTTCCTTGCATTTAGAGTCATGAATATGAATGGTAATTACAAAATTCATCATTTAATGGCAGAATGTCATATCAGTTGTTTGTTATAACCACATAAAAGGGATTGCCACGTATGAGGACAGTGATTATGTTCACTATTGGCAATTCTTAGCTCAAGTGCCTCTATAGTGAATAAAAGTTAACCTCTGCTGGGTAAGCTTCTAATGTTAATTAACTTTTTTTTCCTCTAGATAATATTGACATCGGACCCAGTCCATCCGTTCGGCCTTGTGGTTCATGAAGACTACCTCTACTGGACTGACTGGGTGCGCCGTGCAGTAATACGTGTGGATAAATATACAGGTGGCAATCTAGTGGTGGTGCGCAAACAGCTCCCTCAACAGCCTATGGGAATCACAATTGCATTTAATGATACAGAAAAATGTACGTAAAGATATTTCATTCAGTTTTTAAATCAAAAGCATTTTTTGCAGTACAGGACTGTACTGTGTAATGGGGGTATATTTTAACTGTCAGGAAAAACAAAGAAATTATGGATAAAAAAAAATTGTTTTATTATTTCCTTGTAGGCTCACTGTGGCCCTGTAGTAACATCAACAACGGAGGCTGTGAGGGCACTTGCAGTACAGATGAGTTTGGACTTGTTAAGTGCACATGTCCACCAGAGAAGCTCGTCTCAGATACATACAGATGCATTAGTAAGATACAGTGTATTTTTAAACCTGTGGTGTTTGCATACTGTTGTTGTAAAGAAGTGTTGTGTGTATGGTTTTCAAATTAGTGATGTATAATTCAGCAGGCAGGCTTAACTATGCGGTCCAGACAGTCAACCTTAGCCTCTTTGAATACATTTGAGTTTAGCTTGCCTTCCAAAACCAGGATCTTGGTTTCAAATCCTGTAGATTATCATTTTTCCCCCATAAAACTAAATACAATTCTACTCCCTAAGCATCATGTTGAGGCATACTTTATTTAATTTGATTATTTTTTGTGAAACAAAGAAAATAAAAAAATAATAGGTTATTCTCAAAATGTGGCAAATTGCTTAATATCAACAAGTTACAATTGAGAAACTCTGATGCATACACTTTTATAGTAACAAAGGAAATACATAGCTAAAAAGAATATAGGGCTAGAAAAAAAGTATATGGCCCATCACTTTAAAGCTTATAATGGGGAGAAAATGAATTAATTGAAAAGTCCATTTTCATTTTTTGGCCCATTGATGCTGGGATTGTGATAGCATGCCCCATTCTGAACATAAAGAAACAATAAACACAATCTTCAGTGTAACACCTGTATACCATTAAATGAGAATAAAGTAAATACATTTCACCCTCCAATTTGAGACCACCTTTGGGATCTGAAAATTTGGGGTGGTCTCGGCGTTTGGTCTCGGCGTTTGGTCCCCACATAGAGCCTTAGAATAGTGTTAATAGATTGAAGATTGTTATTTAGTTCTTTGAAAAAGTGGTCTTGAATTAGAGGGGTCTTGAATTTGAAGGGTGCACTGTAATTGTAAAATTATAACTTAAGGTATTCTCTTCTTTTTATCAGATAAAACCATAGTATGTCCAGATGGTTTGTACGCTTGTCATGATGGTACCTGCATTAGCTATGAGTCTACCTGTGATGGACTAGATGACTGCCCTGATGGTTCAGATGAAACGGAAATTTACTGCTGTAAGAATTTTTATTGACTAGTTATATTTGAGGGCATTAATAAATGAATTTTTAATTTCTTGTTAGTTTTCTTTGTTCATTATATGTATTATGCATATATTGTGTATAGAGTGCTTTAGTTAATTATTTAATAAAATTGTTGCTGTTATACTTTGTTTATAATGTTTATCTATCTTCATTTCATTTCATTTTCTATTTTATTTATTTTTCTCAAAATAAAATTTAAAAAAATAAATAAAAAATAAAAGGAACAGTAAAGAACAAACACAAATAAATATGAAACAGGACACTCCAAAAGTGAACAAAATCACTGTCAAGATATTTTTTACAGCCCTTTAATATATAATAATGTATTATATTAATATAGTACCATCTGATTCTTTTTATGTAAGACTGATCACCTATCCTGTATTTTTTTTTAAAATAAATAAGTAAATAATGCAGTTATGTGTTATATAAAAAATAATCTTGCAGAAGACTGGTTGTCAAATAATTAATAGATATTACTGCTGTAAATTGTTTCATTTACATGACTACTTTGAGTAATGTAATTGATACAAACAAGATTGGCCTTTTTGGCTTTTTCCACATCAACTCAATATTAGCACTAACACTATTTAGTGTGTGCCCTGTTTTTTCCTTCAGCAATGAGAACATGCAGAGAGGGCTATTTTACTTGTCGTAGCGGCGGGTGCATTTCATTTGCTTTGCGATGTAATGGCAATGAGGACTGTCATGATGGGACGGATGAAGAGGATTGCGGTAAGTCTGATATATCTGATACATGAATTTAAATTATTTTGCAGGAAATACTTGAGCGGGTACTTTCTGTGACCTTTCCTCTTTAAAAACCAGAAGTTTCTTTAGGCCAAATTGTACCATGTCTACTCATGATATTATATATTTAAATAAAGAGTCTTTATTTCATTTCAAGTCTCGACGTGTGATGAAAATGAATTCCAATGCGATAATGGAAATTGTATTGACTCTTCACGTCGATGTGATTTCGGTGTCGATTGCGAAGATGCCACTGATGAAATTGGTTGCCGTAAGTTCCCATTAGCTTTGTGATTTTATATAAAATAATTTTTTAAATATTTTCTTTCAAATATACTGAGTACACTGTAAAATATGGAGATTTTTGCTCTGTGTTTTTATTAGCACTTTTCGCATCCCAAGAGTTTACTGTACAATATTATATTGCTGTGAAATTAAAAGGCTTAAATCAATTCTATAGTGTCCTCAAAACTTAACTATAATTACACCATATATTAATAACTAGTACTACAAATAGTGTGATCATTTTTTTGGGGAATGAAACTGTGATCTCAGATTTAAGCATTAATAATAATAATGAATCTATTACGTGAATACTTAACTGGATAAACTGACTAATTGCCATTGTTCCCGAAACAAAACACCCTTCAATTAAAATAGAACGGTCCGAACCAGGGTGCCATGTACGAACTGTCTCCTAACAATAGTCCTCATTCCCTATTCGACGGTGTTTTTATAAGGAGCCCTTTTGATGCCGAGGATAAGCTACGAAAAGCCACATGCATTTCAGAACCAGAGATTTGTTCCTGTGTTAATGAGGAATTTTTTTGTTGCAAGAAGATATTTGAATTTATATAGCCCATAATGTGACCTCTGTGCACTTTTACAGCCGGAAGTGAGATAAATTTAAGACATAAATTATTAAACGATTTACCTAATACACTAGATAAATAGATACTATATAAATATTATTAACATGATTTATTTTAAGTTATGATACATTTAAAAAATACAGTAATTCTAAGTTTTTTCCATGTATATAATTAGTTTTTTCTTGTCCTTATATTACCTTTTTTACCTTTCTTTTCATATCATATCTTTCTTCTCTTCATTTTTCTTTAATGGTACAACTCTGTTACCATAGTTAGGATAATTAGTGTGATAATTTATATCATTTCTATTAATTTTAAAAATTGACTAAATTCCTTTGTTAAATTAGTGAAGGAACAGCTGTTATCTAAAATGGTATTAATTTAATTTAATTTAATTTATTTATTTTAATGTAGCTGACAAAAAATGTAGTTCATTTGCGATGTTCCGCCTGGAAGTGCCGCTTCCTGATGGAATGGTCTTAAATGAGTGCACCAACACCACTCTGTGCTATCTACCCTCCTGGAGGTGTGATGGGGAGAATGATTGTGGAGATAACAGCGATGAGATTGGATGTAAGACTTAAATTTAAATTAAGTTTATATCATTTTTATTAAGTCTTCCCCAAACATAAAACAATTTCAGTGAGTTAACATGAAAACATGTATGAAATATGAATATGTAATGCATATATATTTGTAAACCATCTATATGACAAGTGATTTAATAAAAAATAATAAGAAGATGTAAAAATATCAATGAAGAATGACGACATTAACAAAGGAATAATATTTAACCATTACAAAATCTATAATAAATAAAGGTATATTCGTACCAGAAATGCTGGCTTTCTTGTCAATAAGATTAGGACTGATAACATTACTGAAATTGTTTCTATCATATACAGTATATGTTTCTTTGGAAAAACATTTTACACCATCGTTTGAATTAATTGGTCCAAAATCAATTCAATATGTAGCCACCTTAACCTTAACATGTATGTTGCGATTTGTCAATTTTAAATTATAGATATTATTAAAAATTATTTGTAATGTGTGAACAAAACAAAGCAAATTATACAAATTTATTCATGAAATAATTTATACATTCAGTATATTTAATGCACTTAATAAGTATTACTTATTGTTTCAGGCGATCCAACAAAACAGCCAGAATGCGAAAGTGATTTCTTTCTCTGCACCAATACAAAACGGTGCATTCCAGCAGCATGGAAATGTGACCAAGACAACGACTGCGGTGACAATGAGGATGAAGATGAATCATGTGGTAAGATATACAATTAATAAAATAATTATTTCATTAATTAATTATTTATTTGATTTAATTATTTATGTTGGTACTAATCAACTACAACACTTGATTATTGCCATTTTATGTTACGCTACTGTCGGCCATTTTCCAAACAATTACGTAGTTTTTTCTTCTGTGAATTTTTTTCCCATTTTGGCCAAAATTTGCAAGACACTAGACACTAGATTGTGTTTCTTTGTTGTCTATTGCAAGAAGATCGTTATTTATTTTCCTTGGATTTTCGGATTTATTTTTTAAGAAGTAGTTTTAGAGAGAATGACATATCCTTTATTTAGCTTGATTTATAGTCAGTTCTTTGTTTAATTGTGTAATTTGGAAGTTTTCATTCCTTGCAAATACTTCAAATTTGCTGGCTGATAATTTAATGATTTTTGTCCAGCTGCCATTTACAGATCATATTTAACGAATATTTGCTTAGAGTGCCACCTACAAACAGTAGGTGGCACTGGTTATCAAGCTCTATCTACTGATTCGTCGCCTGACGGTCCCGTTGTGCGCAGTTTAACAAATGAGGCTTGCCGTCACAAAACCAGCGTACTCTCGCTACATGTTAAACTACGTAATTAGAATAAGAATATGGTAGTATTGTATTGTTCAGAGGAGCCGTAATACTTTCTTTACTCATAACTTTGACAATTGCCGATTCCAGTAAATGACGCATAATTTCAAAGCTTACAATGTGTAGAGTAAGAATATATTAAATAGTCAATTTTCATTTTTTGGTGGCTGATCCTAATTTTGGTATGGCAATTGCCTCAAATTTTAAAATTATCAAATCTTTTTTTGTATTCATATTTTTTTTTGTATCTTCAGAATACACATGTCTGGATGGCCAGTACCAGTGTGAATCTGGTAGGTGCATTCCTGAAGCTTGGAAATGTGATGGCGATAATGATTGTGGTGACCAATCAGACGAGGTCGATATCTGCGGTAACTATACAAAAATAGCACATACTTCATCATGTTAGGATATCAAGGTTATAATTCTGTGATTATTATTTGGGTGCTGTAGGAAGTCAGGCTCCTATAAATGTTCTCAAGGACACCTGTTTTTAGCTCCGATGAGGAGCCCTAGAAACACACGGCTGATTGATTAATAGATCTTTTTTAGATGTACTGCCTCTATTATACTGCCCTCATGAGGCTGATTGATTAATAGTTGATTAATAGATCCTTTTTAGCTCTACTGCCTCTATTATACTGCCCTCATGAGGCTGATTAGTTAATAGTTGATTGATTAATAGATCCTTTTTAGCTCTACTGCCTCTATTATACTGCCCTCATGAGGCTGATTAGTTAATAGTTGATTGACCAATAGATCTTTTTTAGCTCTACTGCCTCTATTATACTGCCCTCATCAGAGCTTTCGCATTTACGAGAACTTGTTTTCATTATATATTTCAACTTTATCATATTTCTTCAATTTTTTTTTCTTTAACTTTTCGATTACCTGCAGTACCTCAAACTTTACCTTTTGACCTAATTGTTAAGAGTGCAACTACACTAATTAGCTAATTAGGCAAATTAGCCATTGCGCACAAACCGAGAAAATGGATTTTTCGTTTTCACAAAGAAACACAAACTTTAAGTGGGTTATCAGAAGATGCACATGCAGCATTGCTATTGTTGTGATCGTGTAGATGAGACCTGGCTGGGGTAGGGCTAGAGGAAAAAGATTAAATTCCCTGATTTTCCTAGGCATATCTGTTCCCTTCTTGCAGTATAACCTGGCATAGGCCTATACACATGCATCAAGTGTGGAATTAGTAGTAAAAACATAGTGGTTTTAGCAGGATTTTTGTAGGCTTATAATCGACCTTGACTACAATGGTAAAACATAACTAAGTTTGTGTCTGACAACGGAGCGTGTACGGCGCATAAAATGAGATTTTCGTTTTCACAAAGAGAGACAAACTTCTCTGTACGTGTAAACAGCCTATGCTGAGTAAATTTTTAACGTTTTCATGAACCGACACAAACATTTCACGCTAATTTACAGGTTAATTAAAGGTAAGAATAGAAAAATAAATTGAACATTTGAATTGTTTAATGCTTTATCTTTAATAATATATAAAAAATATTAAAAATTTTGATATCTTGATAGTGAAATTTACGAATTTGTGAAGAAGTCCACTTCAAACATGTTTTTTTCAAAATGTTTTTGTCTGAATTGAAGTTTGTATCTCTTTGCGAAAACGGTGACGAAATATGATGAACAGAACTAGTATATATGTATATCCATGACACTTACTCCTCATTCTCTTTTTACTGTGATTGGTTATAGATACCAAGACTTGTGCTTCAGGCATGTTTTTGTGTGAAGGATCTAACATCTGTATTTCGTTATCTTGGCTGTGTGATGGGGATGTTGATTGCGTGAATGGTACCGATGAGTACCCTGTAATGGACTGTGGTAAGAGAAATCGAAAGGTTTCATCGGTTAATTCTCGCTATCGATATTTGCATTAGAGTTCAGTGGTTACTTCATTCACAATATGAAATTAAACTAATTTCTTTGACAGCTCATACTAGTTGCTATGAAGGTGAATTTGCGTGTGCAAACGAGCGCTGTATCCAAGAATCATGGACATGTGATCATGAGGATGATTGCGGTGACAATAGTGATGAACATGATGCATGCGGTAACTTATTTTTGTTTACAATCTTGTAAATATCATCAACATCAATAGTTTATCAATCATTCAGTTTGATTTCTTTTCTTATTAAAACTTTAGTATTCTAATATTGGTTTGGTTTCCCAACCTTGAAATCACTGTTTCAATCCTTCGTTGTGCATTTCGCTTGTGTCCTTGAGCAATGCACTTTATCTACATTGGTCCATTCTACCCAGCTGTATCAATTGGTATCAGCAAATTGCTGGGGGTGACCTGCAGTGGACTGGCATCCAAATCAGGGACACTATCAGTCTCATCCGCTTCGCGCTACAGAAACTTGGGATAAGCTCCAGCCTTATGAGCCCAGTGGCTGGGCAAGGATTTACTTATGAATGGGTGCATTTCGATAGATCCCTGATCAGCGACAAGGGCATATCCCTAAATTGCTAGCTGACTTTGCGTGGAAATTCCTTTGTCACTATCCAGGCTTTTTTATTTACAATTAAGGACATGTTTCACAGTACTTAGAGATTTGATTGTTTCCACTAGCTTTTTATATGGCCTGTTGAGATGAAGAACATATAAACAATTGTTAACTTTTATTTGCAGAGTATGCAAAGTGCACAGACAATGAATTTGAATGCGCAAACCTAAGGTGTGTGGTAAAGAGCTGGCGGTGCGATGGTGCCGATGATTGCCAGGATAACTCAGACGAGGACGGTTGTGGTAAGAATCACTTTAGAACATGTGCTGTAAGCGGTCTTCAGACGTTCTTAACGCTTAGCCAGCTTTAATCGTGATGTCACTACTGGTCTATGATTATAGACCATTGCTATACAGCGGTCTAACCAGTTAGCCATCAAAAATTTTAAAGCCTACTCGGAGGAGGCTTAAAATGGTCTTAAATCATTTTCCAACGGTCTCAACTACCAGTTAAGACCGTTTTATAGTAATCTGCCCATGAATTGGTTGAGATGCTTTGTTTCCAATTTCTGACAAATTACATTGAAATTCAATTTCCAGTTCTTTTGATCTATTTTGGCACAATTTTTTATAAGCAATAGCCTTTCTTTGTATGAATCAATCAATCAATCAATAACAAACAAACTAAGTAAAAAAATAGTTTTCCTCTTTTTTTCAGCCACTCAGTGATTGAAGAGGGAGTTCTTATAGGTTCCTAGTTCCAAAGAAAACAAGCGTAGTGCACCCTCAAATTCAATTCCATGACACGTCTAAACCGAGACAACATTTTCAAAGAACCAAATAATAATCATCAATATTTTAACACAAAGCCAACCCTCTAAATGGAGACCGAACCGCGAGACCACCCCAAATTTTTAAGTACCGTGTGTAGTCTTAATTAGAGGGTGAACATATTTATCATTCATGATGTATTGACTGTACTTGTCTTTTGTTACATGTAGATGACAGCCCATTTTGCTGTACAGAATCATCCGATAAGTGCTTAAACTCAACAGTTGTTTGTGATGGAAATCTTGATTGCGAAAATGGAGCTGATGAACGAAATTGCAGTAAGTTTGTTGATGATGGTGATGATAATAATAATAATAATGTATGTACTGAGTATTCAGTACATTTCCACGTCAGGTAGGGCAAACTTACACCTATACACGTTTCTCCTGACGCAAATTTAGTTATTGTCTATTCCATCACGACAATAACAGTTACTATCAGTAATATGGGAGTCTAATTTTTATCTGGATAAACTAAATATTTAGCCTCCCTAAAGAACGAAGATCTGGGGAGGCTATTGTTTTTACCTGTATTCTTATTCATGTTGTTGTCATCATCTTGTCACTGTTGTCGTTGGTAGTAAATTGATTGTTACCATGATAACTAATCTGGTAAATCTGATTGGTTTCAAACTCCTACTTATTAATTCTCGGAGAAAAATCACACCACGGGTAGGCTCTGCTTTTGCTGCGCAGTGTAGAAGGATTGTTTCTAGTTAATGCTTATATCTAAGACTTGGATTGCAATGCTTGAAAATAGGAAATGATAGCAAATATGATACTTCTGTCTTTGCCAAAAAACTTTTGTATTCCCATATATAGTCATTATGTGCCTATATATGGTAATGATGTGGTGTCGTCATGACCATATTTAGGTATGTCGCATGTATTTAGTAAAATACAATTTGATAGTCTGACAGGGCTTTATTCATCTCCTTTTGTATAGACACGACGTGTACTGGGAATCTAGGGTTATTACTGTGTCAACACACTTGCATCGATACAAAACAAGGATACAAATGCGTTTGTAACACAGGCTATCAACTGCAAAGTGATGGATATACGTGCGAAGGTAAGCATACAACTACTATGCAAATTTACATGACGCTGATGAAAAAGACACTTATTAACGTTGATTCAACAAGAATTTCACTAATTCCAGTAACTTTTTTAAAGCTCTTGTCAAATTTTACATGAAAATTAATGTGATATGCCCATATTTGTGTGTAACATGACATCAAATTTGTCAAATAAAATTTTTGTCCACACTAAAAAATTTTTGAAAAAAAAAAACTGTTGTACATGTATGCCCATATATAGTCATGATGTACCTATATATAGTCATGATGTGATGTCATCATGACCATATTTAGGTACGCCACATGATTTAGTCAAGTAAAATTTGATTGGACTTTTCAAGCAGCCAAAGCTCTTTTGCTTCAAGCTGCATTTCAAGATCTTTTATTTTCGTATACTGTAATTGCAAATTTACAATTTCACGATTTTGCCTATCATAGAATTTTTTAACCTGTAATTTTCATAATTATACTACAGTATATAGAGACTCAGGCAAAAACCAATGCCAACATCATCAAAGATGATAGGTATTAGGGAGATTTTGCAGCCTTACGAAAGGGATAACGAATATGAATACGTCATCATTATCTGTCATTCGTGCATTAAAACATTGTTGACTATACGCTGAATGAGCTGAATATGATTCTTGATTCCTGCAAAAGGCATGAATCGCCTGAGTAGTGACATACAGGCTACTGCAGGTGAAGGGTTGTTAAAAAATTGGTGACATAACCATATTCGTAAGTTTTTACGGAAAACTCGCCTGTCCTGAACAATCTGCTTAGATTACTTTCATAAAATTGCCGAAATAATTCTACCAAACTTCATCTGTGCGTTTTGTTCTAATTTAGACTTAAATGAGTGCAATACAACATTTCCTTGCTCGCAACAGTGCTTCAACAGTATCGGAAGCTACCGCTGTGGTTGTTCTCCAAATTATATTCTTGATCTAGATGGTCGAAGATGCAAAGCAAATTCAGGTAATCCTGTTTTGTTTTTTGTTAATGATAATATATAATTTTTTTGACATTTCACTTTTACATCAATGGCTTAGTAAATCTTAATCAAAAGAAAAAGACAACTTAAGTTATTTCTTTTTTTAAAATCTTAAGCATCTTGGGAATTTTTTACGGTGGATATGATATATGCAGTACATAAATCATATTAATTATTATTTCTTAACTTTGTGTATTATATATGTATATATGGATATATTTCCACAAAACTAGACAACCTTGCCAACAGTGAAACTTATTTATTGGGTCATTGTACCACTGTATCGGGACAGTCGCATCGTAGAATATCAACCATCTTTAATATTCTCTTGACGAAGTAGGACTGTTCCTGACAATACGTTGTGTCAGGCTGCACCGTACGAACCTGTCTGAGTTGGCCTTTAGAATCTTTAAAATCTTGAGTGCATCACGTTTTTTGATTACTATATTTTTATATCATCTTCCACAGATGTTAAGCCAATTATCTACTTCTCCAATCGCTATTTTATATGGAAGGTCACACGAAGCTGTCTGAGTTGGCGTTTAGAATCTTAAAAATCTTGAGTGCATCAAGTTTTTTGATTACTATATTTTTATATCATCTTCCACAGATGTTACGCCAATTATCTACTTCTCCAATCGATATTTTATACGGAAGGTCGATTCAGACGGCCACAATTATGAACGTGTGTCACAGCTGTTGCCGTTGGTCAACGTAGTGGCATTGGATTTTGATTGGTATGAGATGAAACTGTACTGGTCAGATGTTACCCAAACTGGAAGCAAGATCAGCCGTATGAATATGAATGGAACTGACATTGAGGTATATATTCCATATATATTTATTATTATGAGTATTAAAGGTGTTGTTTTGGTCATTTCTGCTGATCCATTATACATTAAGCTTCGCATCACCTATTCAAGAGAAATGCTTATTTGATGAATTGTAATTCATTTCAAGCTTCATTGTACCCTTGTAAATAGAACATTTGTTTTACGCTACAATTCTTGTATTTCTATTTTCTTAGTATTTTAAATATTTTTATCTAATTAACTTTTGCCAATGATTTCGTTGATGAATTTATACATATATATATTTATATATTTCAGATTTTTACTTGACTATTTTATGCTAATTAACGTTCTCATTGGCGTCAGAGAGCCACATTACAGTGATTTAGTTTAAATATTTGGCCCTCCTGTCCCGCAAATTGAACATTTTTTTCCTCTCTTTTGTGTCGGTTTTATTGTTCTTTGGATTAAATAAATGAAATTGAAGATCCGTTGTTGCAGAGTTATTAAGATTGCTAGATACTTATATTTATTCTTATTATGTTTCCTTCGTAGGATCTTCATAAACTTGGTGTAAGAAACCCAGACGGATTAGCAGTGGATTGGATTGGCCGTAACCTGTATTGGTGTGACAAGGGCTTAGATGTGATAGAAGTTTCGAAGTTGAATGGACAGTACCGCAAGACTCTCATTAAGAAGGGCCTTGATGAGCCAAGAGCCATTGTTCTGAATCCAGTAAAAGGGTAAGGGGAGGGATATTTTAGTGTAAAATTATGAATAGATTTTATGTTATTTAATTCATGTTTCATTCTGAAGAGGGTATTTAATTAAGAGGCACCCCAAACATTTTGTCAAGAGGAAGATTCTGAAATTTTGCAGTTCTATGGATATGATTATAGTGATGAGAAGAGAATTACTTAAGTTGCATCATGATTCTAGGGGCTAGACATGTTGGAGGGCTAGGCTGTGTGATGGGGAGTTCATGTTGAGGGTAGGTTATGCTAAGGCTAGTCTATTCTTCATGTTTACTTCATCCTGAGAGCCTACTAGGCAATCTGTAGTATAGATACAGTAGACCATGTTGTAGGGCCAGTCCTTCCTGTGCAGCTAGGCCTGCTGCCTGTGCTAGCTGCACATGAGATACACATGTGTATCACTATCCTATGTTGTAAAGCTTGTACAATTTCATGTGCTTGCTTAAGCTGAGGAGTCTCTGTGAATGGTTTTGGATCATGCTGAATGATTGAAACTGAGAGGCTAGGCCATGTAGGCGATCATGCTATTGTTTATGAACCTAAAATCACTAGATCTCATAAACCTAAATTTTTTTCTTTTTCAGAGAAATGTTTTGGACTGACTGGGGTGTAAATCCTTACATTGCCAGAGCAGGTAAAATAGCATATTCACTAATTTAATGATTTTTAAATCCCTGTTAAAAGTAGGTCTGTGTAGTAGTTACATTAAATATGTATTTTTAATTTCTAATTGGAAAGTTTATACAATACGCAGTACAATATATCTTTTACTTTTACTGCTTATTGGATACACAAGTAAAGAATGTATTTTACACAAGTAGTATATGTATGTATATATGTATATGAAGCCTCAATGTCCAATGAGAGGACAGGAGAGCGTTAAGGTTAAGTATATGTATATTGACACATTTACCCACATGTTGCTTATACCGTCATCAGAGGGTGCCATTTTTTATATGTATGTATGTATAAAGGTTATGTATGAACTTATAAATCTTAGTATCAATTCTTAATAGATATGGATGGTGAAAATGTACAAAAGATTGTAACTGAGAAGTTAGGCTGGCCAAATGGTCTGACTATCGACTACACGACAGATTACATTTTCTGGGCTGATGCTAGGGAGGATCGCATAGAGTTTTCCACCAGTACGGGACAGAACAGGTAATATTATTTGGCATTTTAAAATATAACCAATGTATCGATGCATAGGCCTACCATATTAACAAGCAGAATTTCAGAATATTCTATATGTTTGTAATCTTGGTTGACAAAAAAAAATTAGCTCTCAGCTCAGTTTTCATTTTGGAATTAGGATTTAGCTCTGCATCCTTAATTCTCGCACTGCCCCTTCCCACTCACTATGCTGATACCTGTGCACACTTCTGCTGTAATGTTGCTTTAATCCATTGTAACTAATTTGATGTTATTTTTCTCACTGTTCTTCTTGATAGGAGAACAATTATTAGTCACAGTACTCCACATATTTTTGCACTCACCATGTTTGAGGACTGGATTTACTGGACCGATTGGGAGAACCGGACAATAAACAAAGCTCATAAGTACACTGGTTTAAACCAGACGGTACTTGTTACTAGTCTTCACCGACCGATGGATTTGCACGTAGTCCACCCTTTAAGACAAGTTTCAGGTACAGATGGGTTTAATTTTGTAATAATATCAATGAGATAAGGTCAGAATTATTTGTTGTGTTTTAGTATATGTTGTGCTTTGATTCTGAGTGTTTGCATATTTCTTCCCCAGTTTTTTGTATATTTTAAAATTTAATGATATTTAATTAAATAATTTCACAAATCTTTTAAAATAGTTTTATCTCTTTATTATACATAATAAATTGCTTATTAGAAAGTATAATACATACTCCAAGTATTGAAATACACGCCATCGTGCTTATCTATATTTAATAATCTATAGATAATACCATCATAGAAATGCATACAATATATCTATATTTAATAATTGTATTAATAATAATAATTATTATATAGGCTTTTTAAAATGTATTTGAAATGTTTTTGTATATCCATTTATTTATAATTTTTTATGCTCTTTGTAATACAAGCCATTTAAACCTTTGGCTGTTGTTTGTAATTTTATATGCTTTTTATAAAGCATAAATAAATAAAAGAATTTTTAAATGATAGTAGTATTACATTTTTTTTACCAGGTAATTTCAACCCTTGTGCGGTTAAACCATGTTCCAACCTGTGTCTCCTAACCCCTGATCAGCACTTCACATGTGCATGTCCGAATAACTTCTACCTAGCAGGCGATAAGACCAGCTGTGTGTCAAACTGTTCCGCCAGCCAGTTCACATGTGGAAATGACAAATGCATACCATATTGGTGGCGCTGTGATGGAGAAGATGATTGCGGCGATAGAACAGATGAACCGGACAGTTGTCGTAAGTTTATTTGTCAATATTCAGGGCATGTACTGTATACTGTCATGCTAGACAAATATAACCATATTTTTATATTGTGCTCTTCCAGCCTTTAACTTCACAATGAGATATGATTTCAATCAGTAGAATAATCCTACAAAAAAGTGGTCCATGATCTAGATTATTGATAAACTTGAAAATATTGGGCTTTCATTTCGGGTGTGCCTAGTATTGCACTGTCTAATGTTAATTGCTTTTTCTTCATATCATTAGTTCCTTCCCTCCCTCTATTTTGTAACTTGCGGTGTGATACTGTTTCTTTGGAAAATTCTGATCTAGCAGCGAGTGTCAGCAGTCCAAATACGAGTCTAAGCCCATTCAGAATAGATTTTTTTAGTCGAACTAACCTTGTACCTGGTTTTACCAAGAAATGCTGTGCACCATGCTGAATTTATTACAGAATGTATCTAATATAAGACCGAATATACATGCACAAAATCTCACTGTCTGCTGCATATTTAAATCTAATTGCAAACAGCAGTACAGTTAATCTAAGGTGCAGTTACTGTTTGTTGTCAAAATAAAGCCAATGTGCTACGTGACAGTGGATTTGCAGGATTTGAACCTAGGATCATAGGATTGAAAGAAAGGCACTTTAACTACAAGAATTCAACTACTCTTTAATGACCTATGTCTCCTACATACTCTGGTAGATCATTTTAGAGTCATAAAAAATAATTTTGGGTTTTTTTATTTTTAAATTTTGATTAATTGTTACTTGTTATTTAGTATTTATATAGTGCCTGTCCTTTAGTTTATGAAGCACTTTGTTTTCCCTGGTCATTGAGTCCATATGCTTTTAGTGTTACTGCCATGTTGGTGCAGTAGCAGGCAACCCCAATTGTTTGATGTGATTTTGTTGCTTCCAGCTGAATTCCACTGCCAGTCTGGTCAGTTTCAGTGCACTAACTCTACAGCAGACAATGCACAGTGTATCAATCCGTCGTTTCTGTGTGATGCAGACAAGGACTGTGAGGATGGATCAGATGAAGTAAACTGTTGTATGTATTAAATATATTATTTTTATATATACTTTATTGCAGCATTAAATTCACATTTTACATTTGAATAGTATTGAAATGAAAATTCTATATCACTTTTAAATAAACTGATTTTATGTCTTCCATGTGTGAATGTATGGAGGACCTTTATATATGTGGCAGAGACAAAGCCAAACCAGTCATACCTTGCAAAAAAAATAAATTTTTAGTTATTAATACATGATTAAACAGTAAAATGAAAGTTTTAAAATGGTAAAAGAATAATTTAAATCCAACATTTCGTTATAAAGTTATAGGCATTTAAACATACAGCTGTTTAAAGTACTGTAGATTTTTAAAATGTTTTGGTCATTATCTCCGAAACACAATTGCGAGAAGTAACTGGTTTGGCCTGTCTTCACCAGATATATATATACACATATATAAATTTTTTTGTTTTTACCAAATTAGAATGTTCTGGATACTATTTTGTAAGTCTATATTGTGAATACTTACCTGGATAACCTGGCTAGTTGCCATTGTTCTCGAAACGGAACACCCCTTTAAAAAAAATAGAACAGTCCGACCTAGGGCGCTACGTACTGTCTCCCTAACAGTCGTCTTTGTTAATTCTAGGCACATCGAACCTCTGACATATAAGTTTAAAGTTATTATTATTTAACATTATTAGGATCTTTGCTATCTGTTATTATACAACTATAAATTAATTATAAAATTGATAATTCACATTCGTGTATGTCATGCAAAATTTCTGCACTCAACTACTGCTATATATTCAGCAATGCATGTTGGGATTGACGTTGCTTCATTTCAGTTTCTCACACATGTTTACCAAGTCAGTGGAAATGTTTGAATGCTTCGAAATGCATTTCTTTGTCGTATCGGTGTGATGGAATTAATCATTGTCCCAGAGCAGATGGCGGAATAGCGGAAGATGAGGACAACTGTCGTAAGCTTGTATTCTTTTATTATTTATTTGTTTATTTATATGGCACCTTTCTTTGCAGATACAAAGCGCTTCTGACCCCCGGTCATTGTGTGTACATGCTTAAGGTACCTCTTTATACTCATTGGTGGAGAGAAGCAATGCCGATAATGTCCCTTGCCCAGGGACGCAAGGGAAATGCAAGCGAGGGATATTTATTTATATTTATTATTTTTATAGTATTATCTATATACGTAGTAGTAGTGGTTTGGCGCAGTGGTTGTGGTTCTGCTTCTTAACCTTAAGGTCGGAGGTTCAATCCCTCGCTGTGTATTTTGCTTGTGTCCTTAGGCAAGGCAGTTTACCTTCAGTTGTCTCTCTCTACTCAGGAGTACAAGTGGGTACCTGGTAGGTTCAAGCACAAAAAAGTGCTGATCACAGCTGCAACATTATAGAATTCTACCAAAGGACCTGAGTATGTGTTCCATATGTGCTTGATCCAGTGACTGGGGGTAATAATGCTAAGCGCATAGAGGTCTCTACAATATGCGCTTTATAAGTCGACAATTATTGTACATTATTTCGTAATTAAATTTAGTAATTTGATTTAAAAAAATTTCACTTTCTTTTAATTAGTGGCATCCCTTAGTTTAATAGTCTACCATTTTTTATTTGTATTAGCATCACCAACTTGCTCACCTAGCCATTTCAAATGTGAGGTTACCGGTCAGTGTATACCAAATACGTGGGTGTGTGATCGTGAGGAGGATTGTGTTAACGGGACTGATGAGTCAAACTGTACTAATCATCGTTAGTATTATGTGTACTTTGAGTTTGTTTTTTTGAACTCAGTGACAGAATTAAAGGGGTGAGGGGAAGCTGACCTGGACCCCTGTAAATTTCTATAATCGTAATTTAAAACCCTGTTCTCATCCTGTAAGTGGCGAGTGTACTTGCTGTTGAATGTGAAGGAAATAAAAAAAAAAAAAAAATTGTTTTTGGTCTATATCCTCTACCTGTGAAAGTCCCTTCCTGGGCCCTCTCTATTTTGATTTCCTAGATCTGTCACTGAAACTGTATATGAATTTAAACCAATAATTAAAAGTTTCATTATTCCATATGTAATATCCCTTATCAAGTATTTAAATAGTATTATAATGGCTTTTAATATTTTTTTATTAAATACATTATTCTCATTGATACTTTGTTACTTTTTGTGCATTTTTTTTTTGTCGTTATTTTTGTTGGAATACCCGATAAATTTCTGCAGTACCCAATGAATTTCAATTTCTGACTACAAGTTGATTGTATATCCTGATTGATAAAACAAAACTCAACCACAAAGGCCTAACCTGCAGCTTGCTGAAGCTGTAGTATGGTAAGAGCTTGCAAAAAAGAAAAAAAAAAAATAGCCCGGTAAGCAAAAAGCACACTGGGAATGCTGGGTATGGCCCTAGCAAGCCAGATAAAAATTGCAATAATTATGGTATTATATCTTTGTATACAGAAGACAAAACATGTGCGTCTGATGCGTTCCTGTGTGACAATGGAAATTGTATTCCGGAAGCCTGGCACTGTGATGGAGAGAATGATTGTTCTGACAGCTCAGATGAGTTGAATTGTGGTGGTGAGTTGATAATCGATTATATTTTAGGCATGAAATTAATTTAATCTAAGGCTTGAAATATGCCTTTTTCAAGTATTCTAGGCCTTGCTTTTGGGGAAAAAATGTATATTTGCAAAGCCTAAGTTTTGTGTTGGTTGAGGGTCAAAACAATTGTTTTTATGCCGTAGTTACATAGCTGTATATTGGATATTTAGCTTGTTTGGTAATTTAGGCAAGTGAATTTTGAGAATGTAAAAATGTTTTCCTAGGGCAAATTTTTTACCTCAATTTTCCACGGCATCATCAATAGTATCATATATATAACTTTATCATCATAATATCACCAATGGTAATATTGTCATTAATGATATCATTGTCCCAATCGTTGTCATTATCATCATCATCTTCATCATCATCATCGAAATCATCTTCAACAAATAGAATTTAACTACATCAACCTCAGCAAGAGTATAATCTAAAAATTGTTTGTACACTTGTAAATAAGTTTTAAATATTGTTTATTTAATTTTATCTAGCACAAATTTTTATTCACTTACCGTAGAAACCACAAGCTGTCCAGTATCCAAATTCCAGTGTGCACAATCCAAACGTTGTATACCACTACGCTGGAAGTGTGATTTTGACCCAGACTGTTCTGATGGATCAGATGAGCAAAATTGTCGTAAGTAATCTAAAACAATATTGTTGTCAATGTAATCATCATCATCACTGTTGTTATGATTATGTTTATTATTAAAATCATCCTGATCTTCATCATCGTCATAATTATCATCATCATTTTCACCATCATCTTTAATGTCATAATACCTAGCATATAAATGCATCATCATCATCATTATCATCATCATCATCATTGTCATCATCATCATGATAATCATTGTCATAGCAAAGACTGTAGAGTTGCAAGAGGTCTGACTACCCTGATTTGTATGCATGCAATGAAACATTAAAAACAGTGTCCTCTAGTTCGTAGTTGTACTGTTTTTTGAGAGACGATTGTGTTCCAACAAAATCCAGAGAGTTGGACCTCTAGCAGTTTTTACTCTTTGATCATAGTCATATTCAAAATTCTACCAAGGACAGCTAGTGAAAATTTAGTGTGTTCTGGCCAGACAATTCATCTGTGTGTTCTGTCATTTTCTTCATTGTTTCAAAGAGTATTATCTATTACAGCAAATTACACATGCAGTCCAGAAGAGAGGGGCTGTACCCATGGCAACCGCTGCATTCCCATCCGATGGTGGTGCGATGAAGAGGAAGATTGTGATGACGGCTCTGATGAAGCTGACTGCGATAGTAAGAGAAATTATCATTTTGCGAGTTTAAGTAGATATGATTAGGTATCTAGTAAAGATTGTGTAAAACCTACAATATCAAAGTAGGATTATTTTGAAATGGATACTGGTGCACAACATTTTTTCATTATTATTGTTATTTGTATAGTGCTTTTTAGTGGAGTTACGAAGCAGTTGTTGTTATGAAATACAAGTACTAATCCTATCAGAAACCCCAGATTTCAAATCACAATTCACTTAGTTACGACACTTTGTGTATTATACAAAGCATGTTTTAAGAATTGTTACTGTTGTAATCTACAGAGAACACTAATCCTTCCTGTAATGGTAATGAGTTCCAGTGTAACAATACTCATTGTATTCCATCAACGTGGCGGTGTGACTCGGACTTGGACTGCGTGGACGGATCTGATGAAAACGATTGCAGTAAGTTTGCTCCAAGTGACGCAAAATATTCTTACACAATAAAAATAAGTCATTAAAATTATGGTTTACCTATTAGTAATAGCCAGCATTTGTGGAGTCCTATTTTATTACTGAAAAATATGAACCTACAATATTTTTATAACAAAAGGCATGCAAAAATATACGAAGCCGAAACTGAAATGACCTCACTATTGTACCCAATGTGGGACACCTGTCCCCTGCAATGTAATGCACACGCCATCCTGGAACAGAGTAGTGAATAGCATTCAACTAATATACCCAACTTCCTATCCCTCATGAATAAGCATTTTGTATAGCGAGGAGGGTGATTCTATTATCATCTAGAGGTAAGTTCAGCACTTCGAAAGTGCGGCGTTTCATTGTTTGTACAATACTCATAAAAGCGTCCTTATCGCGGCCCTGGGTAACACCAATTCTACCACCACCGCAATGGATGGTATACAAAAAATACTTGTATTATTATTGTCATCTTGCCTAGTCTAGTGGAGTCCTTTCTTGGGCCTCTGCCCTTACAGTCATACAGTATCGAAGGTTTCTGTAGCCACGATAAGTAGTGCATGATGTAATAATCACAAATTTGTTTTTCCATTTTTGGCAGATATTCAACCAGACAGAGCATGCTCAGCGGCAGAATTTACGTGTGACAATCAAATTTGTCGACCATTGGCGTGGGTTTGTGATGGTGATGACGATTGTGGTGACAATTCTGATGAAAAACTTGAACATTGTGGTAATTATAATAATAATAAATTTAGAACTGATTAGGACATTTTAATCATCATATGAAAATACCTCAAATTTAAATAAAGAGGATCAAGTAAATTACTGTATTAGCTTCCAGCGAGAAACGGATTAAAAAGAAAGTAGTTTTCAATTATTTTACTTCAAAAACATTTTACTTCAAAAATGTTTAAATTGATTACCAGCCAATATAAGGGTCTACTGAAATGAATTAAAGTTATTATTTAACTGTCCAAAAATTGCTTGGGGGATTTTTTTTCTTAAATTTTTATTTTTAATGTAATAACTTAAATGATGCAATTCCAAAAATAAAGCAATTGAGCAATTCAAATGTGAAATTAGAATTTTCAATTTTTTTACATTATGACTCATAAATCCTATGTTTGCCTGTTGTCAGCTTTTCCAAGGTGTTTCAGCTACGAGTTCCAATGTCTAAACAGAAAATGTATCCCATCTGCATTGATGTGTGATGGCAACGATGATTGTGGTGATAAAAGCGACGAGCACTGTGCCGACAGCCACTGTGAGAGCAACCAGTTCAAGTGTTCCAGCTTGCTCTGCATTGACAACTCGTTGGTTTGTGACCACATAAACCACTGTGGAGTCAATGCCTCTGACGAGATGCACTGTATGGATGGTAGGCAGATTTGTTTATTTTTCCTATTTATCTATACTGTAGACCATTTTATTGGGTTTATTTTGAAACAGAGGCGCCAACGTCTCGCAACTCACTGGGGGACTTCCAGCGGCCTAGCCTAGCCTGAGCAGCTAGCTGGTGTCAAAATAAGCGCCATGTGCACCCTGGTTAACTATGAAGCTTGAAGTGCGTAGGCTTCTGGAAAGTCCCCCAGTGGTAGTTGCCAGGTTATCGGAAATTTTTGTTTCAAATTTCAGGAAAATGGTCTATATAAATTCATGTTAATATAAAGTAGGTTTGTTGTAAGTTATAAATGTGTTTTGAAAATTTTCATGTCCATCTTTTTATTTTGTGTACTTAGAAAGCATTTTTTTCTTTGTATTTAATTTTAAAACTTCACCAATTGAGTTCCAGGTCTTTTTACAATTTGTGCAATGGTAAATGCAATGAATTGTTTCAACTCTGAATTTCTGTTTTAGACAAATAACTTTAAATTGAATTGTGTTATGCAAGCAACAGGAGTTTTCTCCTACAGAATAAAATACTACACTCTTTTATTTTAAGATTTATTTAGTAGAACATCAGTATTCAGTCCCATCCTGTAAGTGCATCAAATTAAAAGTTTTGTAGCTTTCTCATCTGTTGTATCAGAACCTAATAATTTTCATGAAAATTTTCCACAAATTATATTTATTTTTCTATATGTCAGTATAGGTTTAAACAACACAAATTAACATACAAATTTGTAAAAAGATATACGGCATGTCCATCAATATGCTAGCTTTAGGAAGCACTTGGGGATATCACATGCTTGGGTTGCATTCCTCGGTTAAGAAAGAGTGTAAGGTGGTGATATAATGTTGGCTGCAAGCCTTTTTTCCTAGCATCATCCCATACGCCAAGGCATAAAGGGCGCTACCATAATGAAAATCATTCCCATCAACTGTAATAAAACGCATACGCTATTAATTTTCAAATTATTACTTTCGGGTTCTTCCCTGATCCTCCAGGGAGAGAGTTTCCATTCTGGTGACCCCTGCCAGCGAGTTTATGTGCAATACAATATTGGTATGTTTAGACAGGTGTGGACGTGAACTCGCATCCTTGGAGGCGCCCTGAGTGAATCCTATCAGACGTAAGCTCTTGTCCCTGGCAGCAAACATGTTAAAACATCAACAACATAGTATTTTCTACTATTTAAACTATCAATAAAGCTTACTGAAGAACCTTACTGAATAATGACCTAGCTAGACTAATGAATTATGTTTATTGTTTGCATTTGAATTAAGGTGTTGAAAATCCATGCGGGCAAGCAGGCAATAGACAGTGTGATAAGTGTGTGCCAACACCAGGGGGCTACTATTGTCAATGTCGCGACGGCTTCAAGCTAGAACCAGACAGGTCATGTTCAGGTCAGTACACATATAGTTGGATTTATATGGCACTTCATACTGAAGTCTCAAAGCGCTCTAATGTGTGGACTAGCTCGTACAATAACTTGTATTGATGTTGTGTTGCTATTTTGTAGTTTACCTCACTGTTTTGGTTTTCGCATTTAAATTTAGTGTTCAGTGGTAAGGTTAGGCCTCAATGTAATCACAAATGAGGTGATTTATTTACTCTATAGCTTAATGGTATTTGGCTATATGTGATGAATCTAGGCCCAGCTCTAATAATATTGACATACATTAGTATAACCAACCCTTTTGCATAAATATCTAAAAAGAGAAGAGCTCTCCATACACTAAAGGAATTAGTGCAATTCTTTCTGTACTAATTCTCTTTTAATGTATGGAATAGGACTATACTAATTGCTTATTATTGCAATTTTAATTGGTAAATTTAAATGTTCTTTATTTTGTTTAGATATTGATGAATGCAGTGATTTTGGTTACTGCCCCCAGCTGTGCACCAATTTAGAGGGAAGTGTTCTTTGTGAATGTTACGAAGGTTATAACAAGGAAATAAAAAATGGCAAAACCACCTGTAAAGCTGATGGTAAGTTTCCTATATATTTGATTCTGCATGAATTCTTTGAAACAGTGTTTATTTAATGGAAATGGTTGAGTATTAGTGAAGTTATGAATACTTAATTCATTGGATATCAACCATGTAGGTTTTGAGAAAACAATGTTAGTTATTAAGATTTGTATTTTAAAACTAATACGAATATACTTTTCTGTATCTTATATTAACTGCTCCCAAGGCTTTCTTCACGCACTCTTTGTACAGCAAACAACAATGGGTGAGCCTGCCGCTCAAACCAGCACCATTAAAATGCTGTAGGCTGCAGCTCCCCTCATTTAACCACTGGGCCAATCGATTCGCCCATAAAAATGATTTAAGTTTTCATATTTGTAAAATCTTTTTCCTTTCTGTTTGCTTAGAATATCTTTTCTTACTTGAAAATTGTCATGATGTCACATTGTTAACCTTTGTCCCCTTTAGGTGACCCAGAATACCTTCTCTTACCTGAAAGCTCGGAAGTCATCAAATACACACCTGAGCGTGACAGTTATAAATCACACTACTCCAGTAGTGTTCGGATTAGCGCAATGGACTACCACTACGAATCATCTACGATCTTCATGATCACACAACATGAGAAGGCTATTACAAAACTTACGCTATCTGATGGTTTTAGGAGAAGAAGGGACGTGCCGGTGAACGTGACCCTACCGGTATGATAATCTTTGAAATTGTTTCTATATTTTAATACATGCCTGGATGCACTAATATAAATAATATTCAAAAATAAGAACACAAATGTTCTAACCGCAAATTTATGTCCATTGTGGTCCAAAAAAATTTAATACAGAATAAGAAACAATCAAATGAGAACTTAACCTCACAAAGAATCAAACATTTATACAATGAATTCAGTGACTAAACAAAAAGCAGTAATGTAATGAAATTGACAACTATGTATATAATGATGTGTGGCAATAGTGATATTGATGAAATGAAAATGATAATGGTTGATGATGATGGTGGTAGTGGCGATATGGTCGGTGATGGTGATATGGTGGGTGGTGATGGTGATGGAGGTGGTGGTGGTGGTGGTCGTAGTCATGGTGATATGGTGGGTAAAGGTGGTGGTAATCATGATGATTAATAATAGAGTGCTGTAATGATATTGTTTTAAATGGGTTCTTGTCATTATTCACTGTGTTAGTATGACTATATTATTTGGATATTCCTGTATCATTATGTAGATAACAGGATTGAATGATCCGCAAGACATTGCAGTCGATTGGGTATCTGATAAAATATATTGGACTGACGCCGGTAACGATGAAATTCAAGCTGCCGATCTTGATGGGATGAATCAAATGACATTGATTAACTCGAACCTTGACCAACCACTTTCCATAGTCCTTCATCCCAAGAAAGGGTAAGTTAAGGACGATTTCTGATCCAAGTTGTGGCCACATGCGTCCAACCAATCTGGCTGCGTGAAGTATTCTGTGACAAAAACCCCCAGGTTCAAAGTACTGTATATACTCGATCTGTGTATAAGACGGCCCCCGAGTTTGTGAAACTTTTTTGATGATTTTTGTATGTTGAGCATATGAGACAGCACAACCCCCTCGTATCATTGTCGTTATTCCTAAAAATGGAGTAACAGTAACAAAAGTGGACAACACAGATTGACCTGGGTGTGTATGTGACCATATATAGTCATGATGTGCCTATATATGGTAATGATGTGATGTCATCATGACCATATTTAGGCATGTCACATGATTTTTTCAAACAAAATTTGATAGTGTGGGCGTGTTCCCGGCTTGGTTATGCTGTGATGTGTAACACAAGGAACTGCCCCTTGCATCCAGCTGTAGTTATTAATTTTCTATAGACCTTTTTCGCGAAGTTTTAAATGAAAATTTCCGATAACCTGGCAACTAACTACCACTGGGGGACTTCCAGAGGCATACTCACTTCACACTACGTAGTAACCAGTGTGTGCACTCTATTTGACACTAGCTAGCTGCTCAGGCTAGGCTAAGCCGCTGGAAGTCCCCCAGTGAGTTGTGAGAGGTTGGCTCTGTTTCAAAATTCTGATAATAATAATGGTCTATATATGTTTGCCACACGCTGCGTCAAACAGGTGATGAATCCATCTGTGCTCTCTCTGAGCACTGGATTATGCAATACTATCTGCTGATCGTCGGCCTGAGCAGATCCCTTGTAAGCATATTGTTGTGTTCTGTATGTAATCGTGTCATCAAGGACCATCAGATGCAGCCTACTCCCGTACTTACAGTAGTGGTTTTATTATAAATGCTGTAACAGTCCCTTTTCCCTTTTACTTTCTTTACCTAGAATGATGTATTGGAGTGACTGGGGTTCAAATCCCAAGATTGAGGTGGCAAACATGGATGGTTCTAACAGGACAGACTTGGTAACTAAAGATTTACAATGGCCTACTGGCTTGGCACTGGATTCCACTCAGGATAGGCTGTACTGGGCTGATCCAAAGGCAAAGGTTATAGGAAGCGTAAAACTGGATGGAACAGATCGTCGAGTTGTATTTAACTACACAGCCCTAATGATTAAGGGGGAGTACAACAGCTCTGGTGAGTACCACATAATTGGTGTATGTCAGCCTGCTATATATCACAAGTTCACAGGCTTCAAAAAGCTATCCAGTAACAAACTTCTGTTCACATTTCATGAATATTCATTGCCTATATTAAAATGTGTTAATGAATATTCATGAAATGTGAAACAGAAGTTTTATGATAATTCATTAACTATGATTTAAACGTGTTGAATAATGAATGAATTGCAATATATAGTGGACTTTATAAATATGGTTTTGATGTATACCGTATTATATTGTTGTTATATTGGGACTCTTAATTTTGTGAAAATTCTGTAGACCAGTATTTTTTTTTTAATTGAAAGAATATAAAATATATTTTTAAAGTTGCATCCATGTTTTTTGATAGTCTTTGTCTACATTTTATCAATTATTTACTTCCTTCATAGAACCATTTACTTTTGCATACAATGTTTTTTTTTATATTCCTCTTTTGAATTTTGTCTTCCTTTCTTTGTAGTGGTGATAGAGCCATATGCTCTGGATATATTTGAGGACTGGATATATTTCTTGAACTACAAGAAGAGCGAGATGATCCGTATCAACAAGTTTGGCTTGGGTTCAGTAGAAATTCTAAAAAACAACACCCGGCAAATATCTGATCTGGTTATTGTGCATGAACAGAAACAACAAGGTCAGAGCATGACACAATTCCTCCCACCTTCCACTCCTAACTTTATATAACACACTGTATTAAATATGAAATGTTTATTACTGTGTGTCATAACAAGTGTAATAAATGTAAAATTTTTGCCACCATAGTTTTATACCATTTATCTTGTAGGTTATTACAGTGTATTTAATGTATACAGTAAAGTGTGGGTAGATTCCTCTACGTCCCATCCCTTGAATAGTGTTGCAAAGGTCCTACAAAACCACAGCAAAACAGATTGGTTGATAGTTTGATAGTTAACTTAGATTGACACTCGAGAATAATTGTGTTACATGACATGTGTATTTAGTATGAACACAACTTATGAGTAGATTAAGGTATAAATCTCGTTTAACCTTTTCAACTTTGTTACATGATGTGTTCATTATGAATAGTAGTATTAAAGAGTATAGAACTGCAAAGAGGTCTGGTTCTTCTGCGTTTCGTTGAAACAATCCTATCTCAAAAAGTACCACCATGAACTAAAAGGCATCCTTCAAAAGAATGTAAAAGGCGTTTGTATCGAACACGTGTTGCAACTACAGTATTATGACATACAGAACTCTCATTTAATCACAGAGATATCTTATTTTTAAATAGAGATATCTCTATTATTAGAGTTAGTTGAAACTGAGATATCTCTAATTACGATTTAATGAAAATTCTGCTCGCCACAGTCATTAAAATGCATACTGTTCAAGGTTTGAATCCTAATAGGGCGTGGTAATACTTAGTTTTTCGTTTCATTGCATGCATTCATAATCAGCAGTTCTATACTCATTGGTAGTATGAGAAAATTGTATTGTATTGTATTTGTCAAAGAGTTTAGCAGTCAGTATTAGTTATGCATCTGTTTTTTTGAAGATGACTGTCTGTTATTTAAACCTACTGAGATAAACAGTATTTATTGAATTATTTAGTATAGTTTTTCTTTTTTTCATCCCCAGCCATGCCTAATCCATGTGAAGCTATTGCATGTAATGGGGGCATTTGTCTTCTCGGTGACAAATCATCAGCTATCTGCAAGTGTGTTCCTGGTTCAACGTTAAAAGAAAATAACTGTATTCGTAAGTACAGGCTTGGGATGCTATGTGAAGATAAGTCTAATTCGTGAATACTTACCTGGATAAATCGATAAATGCCTAAGTTCCCTTTGAAACTTACCTCTTGAGCATAAAAGAAAAATAATGGACTCGCCCTGGCTCGCCTATATACGCCCTGCGTGAATGGACAATATCTTCGTTTCCTTCTCGCTTTTGTGATGAAAGCTTGCTATTGTCGCTATTGTTGTTTACAAAGAGTTGTCCCTTGTGCAGCCCAAGGATGCTCTGAGAGGCCTATCACATATACAAAATTGTGCACAGGACATGCTCCAAATGTTTAACATTGATATTGTAAAAGTACACAAAATAGCACCATACCAATGAAGCCGGCTAAAATAGCACCATTCCAATTTAGTAAAATGTAATTCTCTCCTTTTATTTAGGACTTCCTCCAAAGATTATTTTTTTCAGCATACTTAAGAGACACTTGATATCCTGATTTTCTGATAATTGTTTTTTTTAGTTGAGTAGGTATTGTGAGGATCTTTCTTCTTGGGGCTAACATATACAAAGTATATTATACTGCTAAAATATAACTTACCTAAATATAAAAAGCAATTAAGGTATATAGTTTATGATCCATATATATAGTATATACATGATTAGAAATTCGGATGGTCTGACTTGATTTATTTTGTTTTGTATTTCAGCTGGTTCTTGTACGAACTACAAATGCTTAAATGGAGGAACTTGTCAAGTAGATAGTAACAATGAACCAGAGTGCAGGTAATATAGTACTACCAAAGCTTACAGCTATCCACTCTGTGCCACTAACATAGTGTGTGGCTGTAGCCATTTCACTGAATAATCAGTTACCTACATCAATCATCCTATTTTACTGGATCCAGCCATTTAAATTTTACTTTGAACCTCGACCCAATATGTCAGAAAGCTAATTATGTCATTTAAAAAAGTAGATGTTAAGGGCTGCAGATGGGAGTTTATTTTATTGTCTCTCCAATGCTCCACAATAATATAGAGGGTTGCCACAAAGCCCAATAATTGGGAGGGTTTAAAAAATGTATATCAAGGAGCCCCGTAGTAATCCTGACTATTGTGTCTAAAATTTAAACATCCTGATTTAGCAATTTCACTGATTGGCTATTAAGAGATTCAGGTTGGTCTATGTATATGCCTGAATTGTATGTGCTAACTGATTTAGCTTATCAAACAATAAAAAAAAAAAAAAAAATTATCCTCTTGTTGGTGATGAGACACATTTTTATAATTTAATGCCAGATTAACAATTCCAACTAAGCTCTCGCCAGATTATTAAATTTTATTTGACAAAAACATGTGATATGCCTAAATATGGTCATGATGACATCACATCATGACCATATATAGACACATCATGATGAAATATGGGCATACAACATTTTTTGTCAAAGAAAATTTGATTGTAAATAGAACTTTGATCAAATTCTGAAGTTTGTTTACTAATTATTAGCTTAGGCTTATGCATTAATTAACTATGTATTTTAATACTAATTTGAGTTACTTTAAGCTTGCTTGCATACAATTATATATCTTATATTTTGCATAAATGCATGTGTTGAGTTTACATTCTGTACTTTATATTTTACTTAAATTCTAATGGCGATGCTTTTCTAAAATCTGAATTCCTTTATCGTTTGAGATGAGTAAATATTGTGCATGTTTTATAAGCAATTAATTATATTATTATGTTTGTTTAGTACAGAACCTGTCATCCATGTCCTATGCAAAAAAAGATAAAGGATGAGAAATGTATGAAAAAATGTGCATAATTTTAGCTCATCTCTAATTCCTGAATTTTATATACTTTCAATTTCAGTGTTTTCTTTAATGCTTTATGCAATTTATATAGCATTTATTTGGCGAATCATTTGTGTTGATGAAGTAAAATCTGTTGTACCAGGGAGTTGTACAATTTGTGTTTAAATTAACAAAACAATTGTAGTGGTGTAACTTAATTGGGAGGGAGATGGGAGGCACATGCCCCCAAAAAAGCTTTTGCCCCTCAAATGCCCTCTTGAAACTACCTTACCTTATTTTGCAAGCTAAAGCCCTTCCCCCATTTAACCACCAACCCCCCACTTAACCTTTCAGCCCCACTCCCTCCCCTATGTCAATACTCTAGATACACCACTGCAATAGATGATTTATAATTATTGGTAATTGCTTGCTTCTCTAATATTTCACATTCTCTAAATATTCTTTGAAGATGCTTGTTGGGATATTCTGGTGAAAAGTGTAAATCAAGCGTTTGCGATAAATATTGCTTGAACAGTGGTGTCTGTAAAATTAACGCAAACGGGCAAGCAGTATGCACTTGCCTGCCCTCATTTGCTGGTAAAACCTGTGATCAAAACTTGTGCAAAGGAGTTTGCAAGCACAATGGAACGTGTAGTGTCAGAAGTGGATTGATTACTTGCATGTGAGTTTGCCGCCCTCTGTAGGCCATTATTCTAACATATCTCAAATTCATAACTGTACTGACTCACTGTGTAAGCCCATGTTTTATCATTCAAGCACTTAAAAATAATATCACTTTCATTGCCTGCATTCCTAGATTTTTACGAATTTTTAATAGTGAAACTGATACTTAATTTCACAGATATTTCGTCACCCACAACACAAACTAACACAAGGAAAGTAAATTGTTTTAGTTCATGAGTACAAAAAATATGAAATACACACATACTGGTAAAGAATACAAATTTTTTGACAACAATATGCACTTATTTTGACGTGTTTATTTGTTTTTACAAAATAACACAACCTACTTCCATTGTGTTAGTTTGTGATGTGAGCGACGATTTCTTAATATTTACAAAAATTAAGCATCTTTATAGCTTCTGGTGCAGTTATTTAGCTGTGTGCTTCCAGTCAAAATGCGAAGCTGATAAACTTGTTTTGTAGCTAAGGGCATAAGTGGGACTACCTATGCTCAAATACCAGGGCCCCAATAACTAGCCTCAACATTGTAGGTTAATCTCCCAGAAAGCTGAATGTGTTCAATAGGTGTATTATCTGATGTCCAAAGAAAATTTTGTATAATATTTATATTTATTTCTTCTTAAAATAAGAGGCGAATCAAAGTTCTGTTCTGTCTACCAAACAAACAAAATTCACCAAAAAATATTGAAAGTATAAATAAAAATAATAATGCCTATTTCCGAAGAGGAATTTATGATGGGCCTTTACATGAATCAGTACAGTTATTACATACTCTTATTATAGTGATTTTCTGATGCACTTTCTGGTTGCTGCAACTAAACCTGTCTTTGAATATTTTATATCCATATGTACTGTTGAAGCTAACATTGGTTGGTTTTTATAATAATATTTTGTCTATTGTTTTGTTTATTTGTGGTGTGTTTTTATTTGTGATTTTAAATGCAATGTGATAATATAAAATTGATTGGTTGTTTTTTTTTGTTGAACATTATAAAATAAGATATCAAAAATGATTTTTTTAAAAGTCTAAAATGATTTTTGTAATTTGCTTTCCATTTGCGCATTACATTCAGTCCATCAAAAGTCTTAAGTAAATTATTTCTACTTCACTAAATTTAAATATAAATAAAATTATGTTGATGAAAATGAATTATTCTAATATATATAGTGACCCAATAATAGTAATAATAATAGTAATATTTGAAAACTTTAAAACAGAATATATATAATTGAATTAATAAAATGAGGGTTAACATAAATACCGTAAAACTTATAATAATAACGTTTGCTATTCTTAGATTGTTTTTTTTTAGGGTGGGTTACTATTAGAGTAGTGGATTAATATTACTAAGCTTAATGTAGGCACTTGAAAATAGTAAACCCCACCCAACCAGCAGTTCATAGAAATACTACAGTACGAGTAAAAAAACTTTGTTGATTTAATTTTTTTATTAACTCGCACATCCTTCCCTCACTTTTTTTTTAAAGCCATTCTCCCCCATCCCCTCCATTGTGAAGAATGCCTATTTTAAGGAATAAATCGTGTTAAAGCAACAAAATTATTGATTTCAATGTCATCTTGTATTTAGTTTTGGTGATCTTTTGACAAGATTCTAGGGTGGATTTCTATTAGAGGGGGTTACTAATAAAGTAATGGGTTATTATTAGACATTTTACAGTAACATAATAGTGTAATAATCCTAGGATTTAGACATAAATAGAACTGGGAGTCCTAATACCTAAAATACATTTGCATATATTTTATGGAACAATTATTTATATTAATGAAATTCATTGGCAGCTGTAAGAATGGTTTCTATGGTGACAATTGTGAACGATCGAAGATTGACCCCTGTTTGAACTACTGCAAAAATGGAGGAATTTGTTCAATAAAAGGTAAAACAATTTAGTAACAAAAAAATGATCAGCTAAGGTGCTTGAAAAGAAATTGCTGAAATTCTTACAATGTTCTTCATAGTATATTTAATTTGATATATTTTTTATGAGTTATTGAGTCTAATTACGTTTTGTCCTCAAAGGATGATGAAATAGTTGCCCTTAATTGCAATGTATTCTGAGACAGAAGCATACAGTAGCTCAAATAGTATGAATGCCACTCCAAAAATTGACACGGCCATTTTATTCTAAAAACAGGAAGGTCCACTGATTAATCTCAGATAAGAAAGTATAACACATACTCCAAGTATTGAAATGCACGCCATCGTGTTGGGATTCAATATTTCGACATTAATTATGTCATCATCAGGAATTGTGTTGGGATTCAATATTTCGACATTAATTATGTCATCATCAGGGGGCAAGCATTTCAATACATTTCAATACTTGGAGTATGTATTATACTTTCTAATTTTATTCTATGTTTTGTTTTTATTTAAGCATCAGGAATAATACATACAATACAAAGAAACAAACTATTATACAGTACAAGTCAACAGAATTCCTAATTAATATGTATTTATTTAAATGAGGCAATTGATATTGTTTGTTTATGCATTTATATGCATATTAATTAGGATTTCTGTAACTTGTACTGTATGTTGTACATAAACACACTATGCACATCCTAATGGTAGCACAGTTCAGTTTGTTAGGCTGGTGGTAGCCATGCTGTGTGTGTGCTGAACTAGGAGATTCCTAGTTAAATTGGTCCAGGTTTCAGTCCTTATCTCTGCTCTTTTGTGTTTTGGCTAGAATGCAAGTATGAAATGCATAGTGAACCATCTATTAAAAGAGAAGTTTAAGCTGTTGATCTTCTGTACAATATGGTCCATGTAAATTATGCAGTTCAGTATTCGGAAAAGAGTAGGGGATTGTCTCCTGGTGGACTGCCCAATTTACCACTAGAAATGACCTGACTGGAAATGTGCCTATCTGCCTCCCAATGAGGGTTTCCAAAGCAAACCCTCATTGACATTATTTAGATTTACTACTGAATAGTAACCAAAATGCAAGGGCTGCAGACAATGATTGTAGCATCATTGAAATATCGCGGCTACCACATGTTTTGTATGTTTCCTACTCATATTGACGGGCAAAGTAGTCAGGCACACAATGAAATATGAGTCTGTCGCAATTGTTTTTTTGTGTCTGGTGGCTATGGGCATGCAGCTGGACCATCCTTTTAAAGCTCTGTCCTTACCAAGGGCTTAGCCAGCGAGCGGTCCAGCCGTCATTTTACACTATAGAGAGTGTTTTTCTTCACAATGCAAACATGCAATATAACATAACATAATGGTACATACCCTTTAAAATCTAAATGTTAAAACCAGTTTTGTATATTTTCTTCCGTGAAGATGAAGTTGCTCAGTGTTCTTGTCCTGCACGATATGTTGGAGTTCAGTGTGTTAAAGATCGTTGTAGTGGGTACTGTAAAAATAATGGCATCTGTTCCGTAAAAGAAGAAGACCCAAGACCTACTTGCAGGTAATTTCAAAATATATTTTTTTTGTTCTATGTGACAATTGTTTGAATATTCTCATTCATATTTGAAAACAAGGGATTATTAATTTATTTAAATTTATTATATCCTTTGGCGACGCTGATTGGTCAGTTGAATTCCCAATTCCCGGCTACACAGTGCAAGGATTTCAGTGAAAACACTGTAGCGTCAGTGTAGCGCTTTTTAAGGAAACCAAGCATTATATATTAAAACCATAGAGAAACCAGTGAGTTTACACTGAATGAGGTACCAAGTTTATATAACAATGATTGAATAAATGAATTATATAAATATTTTTTTCATATTTTTTAGTTGCCCAGCTGGTTTCTCTGGGGTCACTTGCTCAACATCATCTAGATCTTCTCAATCACACAAGCAATCTAGTCATCCAGGTAAATATGATTTTTCATTGTTTTTTATTCTATATTTCAAATCCCTCATTACTATAATCAATTATAAATGTTCATAAATACTCCCAAAGAGTTGGGATTAGTTGAGCATGACGTTGAATATATGGCTGTTTGTACGTAGTGACGTAACAAGGAGGCCTGAGCCACCTGGCAAAGGCCTCTTCGGGCCCTACTAGCTATAGTAGTTGGGTACGGGTCAACCTACCCCCGCTTGTTTCGTTGATTTCACAATTTGAGGCCATATTTTGATGTTTTTCAACACATTCTGCATATTATTGGGCCAGCTCAAGTTATTTTGTGGCCATTGGCAAAATAAATACCAATTTTCCAGGGACCCTTTGAGCATCTGAGTTCATGGCTTTAGCTCATATGTATAGTGGGAGTAAGTAGTTTCTGCTAGGAACCAATGACAACACATTACTACAGTACATTTCGTTCTTTGGCCACCAGTTATTCATTTGCTGCATAGTATAACATTCAATTATCAATATATATTCAATAATTAACATTTATTTCTTTTATTTTCTTAAAGTACAAATGAAATGGCATAAAACTAAAATTAATAAGAGAGAAAAATCCCCCAAAAAATTGTACCTATACTTTAGTTCCCTTTGTATATAATTTATTATTTTCTGCAAAAAAATAACGGCATTAGTTAATATTAATTTTTTCTTGTAGATTCACTGGCAATAGCAATTCCTATAATTATTATCATATTGGTGATAATCATCATCGGAGCAGTATTTTGTTACAGACGCCAAAGGTATTTCAGGTTTCTATTTATTAAAATATATAATGAAAATTTAAACATCCTTTCCATTATGTGTTGTGATTGGTTGTGGTAGCACAGCCTCATTTGATAGGCCTATATAACCTTGACCAATAGATTACATATGTGGATGTGCTCTGGAGAGGCTATCGTTTTGCCTGCTGATGATTATTTGAGACAATCACCGTGAGACTCACACACTCAGCGTATCCCAGTTAAGCATCAAAAATCTTGCGCATAAATGTAATATTTCCTATATTAAACAACTATTAGTGGTTGGCAGGATTTTTACTGCAAAGTGGACTTGTATTTTTTTCTTTTGTCCATTTCAAAATGAGGATATAGCTCTCTGGACAGTATCTTTCCAACTCTCCTCTCTTACATTTGTGTAAGCTTAGTCCTACATCTCTTTTTCTACTCCTGACAATTTGCACCTTTAGCACGTTCTCATCTGAGTTTGCAAGAAACCCTGCATTGATCCTGCTAATCTGAATTGGCAGATGGCCAATAAACTTACCACTAATTTATGTGCTTTGTGTAACTACTTGCAGCATTTTTGTCATGAGCCATGCTCTCTGGGAGATTCTGCACCAGAACCTGCAAATTCACCCAACTTGGAATCTCTGGCAAAAACAGGCCAAACCAGTCACTCGTCGCAAAAATTGATGTTTAGTTATTAATACAGGGTTAAACAGTAAAATGAAAGCTATAAAATAGTAAAAGAATTATTTAAATCTGACATTTCGTTATGAGTTTATACATACAGCTGTTTCAAAAACAATATTTGAGAAATCAGCCGTCAAAGTTTATGATTCCAGGCATTTCTTAGGCAGAAACCATCACCAAATCTTTAAAATTGTTGTTTTGACATTCAAAATGGGGAAAATAACAGAATAGCATGGTTAGTTTAGTGCAGTGAAATAGATTTCCAAAATTTTGACATTTGAGCATGTTTTGGCCATTACCTCCAAAACAGGATTTGCGACAATTAACTGGTGTGGCTTGTCTTTGCTACATCTCTGTATTCTACCATGGGTACTGTTTTTGCAAACCTATTATTTTCAAAAACATTGCTATAGTAGGCCTTTTTCTAAAATCTTGTTATTTAATTTTTTATATTTATTAAAGCAATTGTAAATTAAATATGTTCTTTATCTTGATTTCTTTCAGATTAATGAATGGTTTCAAGCATTCTAGGCTTGGTTCGGCTGATGCTGATAGAAACTTTGGTAATCCAATGTATATTTATAAGCCCCACAATGAAGATAGTTTACTAGAATCGCCTTTTGAAATGGATATGGAAAGGGTATGTTTATTTGAGTTTATTTAGAAAATCTATGTACATTTAATGGGTTGAAAATATGATTGTATGAAATATAGAAATTGTAATACATACTCCGATTGAAATGCATGCCATATTGTGAAAATAAGTTTTCCCTCATTAACTCAATAAATTGAAACCCAAAGGCTTGTTGCCATTGTGGGCCTAGTTATTTTTATACCAGAATAAATAGTTAATTATAATTGTCAGTAAACATACAACTATATAGGAGCTTTGTTTGTCCTCTGCGTGCTCTCTCCATTTATAGTATAAGA